TCTTGTGTCGTGAGACAAGATATATTTGGTTCTCCTTGTGCCGTGAGACAAGGTTTGTGAGTTGATTCGAGCATGATTTTGCTCAGTTGGATATGAGAGTGTGGTTTACTCTGAAAGACCAATAAAATATTTGAGTGTGGTTTACTCTTGAAAAACCAATATTTGATTGGAGCTCAGTTTTGATCTGGTTAAACCAAAAATTGTTATTTGCAGGTTCGAAAAAAAATGACGTTCCTGTTTGATTGATGACTGATGAGTTCGAAAAGATGAACGTTTTCATCGTTGAAAAAGAAGAAACAAAAAAATGAAGGCGACATCACAAGAGTGTGCATCTCGACTTCAACAAATTGAAGAATTTCCAATCACAACGTTCGTTTTACTGCCGTTACGATTGCGGGAGGGTGTTAGAGATATGAGATATCGGAAAATATATGTATGATATATTTTCCGTAGATATCATTAATGGAATAATATATTTAGGTTTATTTTATGTTAAGATATGGTTTAGTGAATATATCATTAGGATATATGGTATATCTTTTGGGAAGATTGTTTCCTATCTTATGAACATAGATTTTGTATAAATACTCAACCTATTGATAAATAATGATCAAGCAATACAAAAGCTATTCATTCTCTCTTCTCCCTAATTTGTCAAGATCCGTGGCGATCTCTAGAATATATTGTATTATTCTCTTCTCGTCTTTTGCTTGTTAATCTATTTCTATTAGTGAGTTATTATTATTGTTGGTGTACTTTTTTTTATAGAATTGAAAAGAAACAAAGATGGACCAACAATATATGTGCATAAGAAACTGACAAGTAGTTTTTGGCATTGGGGGAGGTCCGTCTAGAAGGAATGTCTCTCATATTCAAATTACCCAAATATAATAGTGCGCCCTTGTTATTGTGCTTATTTAACTTAGAGCAAGTTTAGCCCAAAGTCTTAAGACTTGGGGTGACATCATCATTTTGAGTCTTAAAATTTATACTTAAGACTTTTCTCATTTTTCTTCAAAAATCTCAAGCAAGTCTCAAGTTGAGTCTTGAAATTTCAAGACTCAACTTAAGACTTGAGATTGGGACCCACTTCACCCTCCTCGCTTTTATTTTAATTATCCCTTTTTTTATTTTACACTTTTCTACATATAATATGTCAAATATTCAAGTCTTAGGGCTAAAGTGATAAATTTGTGTAAGTCTAAGTGAGTCTTAATAAGAATTTGATGACATCATTTTCAATGGGGACCACCAAAAATGATGTCACATCCAAGTCTTAAGACTTGGGGCTAAACTTGCTCTTATTAACTTTATTTAAATAATGTATAAAAAACATTTAATATTTATTTTAAGAAAATAATTCGAGCCGCTCGTGGGCTTTGCAAGCCGAGCTTAGCATGGCTCGTATATCGTCTCGTTTAGTCTCGAGCTGAATCCAGACTCGAGCCTTGTCCTACTGAGCCGAGCTTGAATAGTTAACGAGCAGGCTCGGCTCATCGACATCCCTGCTGAAATGAATAGAGTAGAAACATAAACGCCTTGATGTGCCAAACTGCCAACTAACTACCTTAGTTAGTTTTGGATTGATATTCAAGCTCTACAATCAAATTTCGTCTATTGTTTTTATGGCCTTCTCTCTAGACTAAAGTGAAACATGAATATATATCTTTATTAAACAACCTTAAGTGAAATTTCTTTAAACAACAAATGGAACATGAAATATTTATTTAGTATATCATAATGCATATTTTAGTATACATTCCAAGAAGCCTAGTAAACTTTCCAAAAAGTAATCATGTGTATGATTAAAAGAAAACAAAAAGCAACTCAACAAGCTAAAATGGGCAAGATAATTCAATGAGACGCAGACTTGGTGTGGACAATTCAATTTGTCTTTTGCATTTTTGTAATTCTTGAAGCTATACAATTGTGGAATTTTGATTTTAGGCATCTATATTCACTGAATGTTCCATAGCTAAAAAAAAAAAAATAAAGCATTTGCAGTTGGCTTATGTCATATGAATGACATATTCCATATGACATATTCCGTACAACTACATGTTTTTGCGTCATATAATAAAGGATGGTTAGTGTTATTCATGGTAACTGGTAACATTACCTATTTGTAGGCATCCGTGTAAAGCCCTCGATGTATCACAGATTTGAGAGGAATAATTGAATAACCATATATTGATATGTGTAACCTACCACGAGGCACGAGTACAGCCGTAGAGTAATAAATTTGAGAGAAATACTAAAGTACTTAACAATAATATTGGGTCGGATTCGAATGTATCAAGTCGGGTCTAGTCTATTTTAATTTAGAGTTATGGTAAATCATTGTGTCCTTACAAGTTAAAATCTAGATTGGGTTACTTTTGGATCAGGTCGGATTGGATTGGATTGGATCGGGTGAGTTTTTGACACTTGCAACCATGGGTAAAACATTTCACTAACAGCATGGTGAATTTGACCCATAAGTTAGGCGTGTGCGTGGCTAGTAATGCTTGATTTTTGGTTGTTTTTTGCGGAGAATTCGATAAGGCAAGCTATAGTTCTAGATATGTATGAGGAAGCTAGAGTAGTAGAGTATGAATAAATTGAGTATACTCTTTACTAGGGTAATTATCATTGTTGTACACAAAGACATTAATTTGATTCTGGCTTAGACTTAATTTTCTTTTAATTTTCCTACAAATGTCATATAAAAGCCTATTGATATAGCTGAAAGAACACCTAGATTTTAGAGAAAAGCAACTCCTAATACCCCCTCCCCTCCATCTCCTCCTAATTATATAGGAGCAAGAAACTGAAACGACAACTTTTATCCTATATTAATATTCCAAATTGATGGATTTCAAACATATGAATAATAAATTGCTAATAGAATCAATACTTCAACAGTGTCAATAATTTAGATGAAAGATAAAAAAAGATATTAGAGATTAACCTTCCCAATAAATATACTTCATATGAAAAAACCTAATTAAATAATACGAGTGTGTATATTCTAAATTTGAGTAATACATATCTTGAAGAATCTCAATTGCAAAATTAAAATTTTCTCCAAGAGTTTATGATAAATTGAAGTTATAAACAGAAAAATACAATCACTATTTTCTCAATCAATTAGAAAAAAAATAAATTACGAGTAATACACTATACCTCTCAATACAAATCTAAGCTATATTCTGTTACAAGAATAAATAAATAAATAAATAAATAAATAAATAAATAAATAACCTAAAAAGTAATTAAAGAGGTGTATAAAAATATGAAACACAAAACAACAATCTAATAACACACTAATAATTGGACTAACTTTTTTCTCAAATCAACAACAATATCACAATTCATCAATGCAACAGTATTAATTCTAAGCTTCTTCAATAAATGAACTTTACCCTTAAACTCCAAAAACCCTGATTTCAAATCACTCTTAACCCTATTATTTTCATCCACTGTTAACCTACTCTTTGAAGAACTTATCATCATGTCAACTCCAACTTCTTCTTCTCCCCTCGACGCGACTCGGGAAGTCCCAAACTTCATATCAGAAGAACCAACCATAGTTCCATTCCCATTACCATAATTAAAACTCATCATTCTTGTCATGTTCTTGTTCATATGATCAAATTCGAAGTGCCCGAAATTTGGGTTTTTAAGCTTGATGAACATATGTGTAGTTATATTAAAAGAAGGCTGAGAATTGTTGTATTGAAGGGATTTTATGACTAGTTTGTTTATTGTTAGGGTAAGATGTTTGGGTTTAATAACGGACGCAAAAACAACCAAGGAAAAACATAGTGCAACTAGAATAACACAAAAATATACCAAAAATTTGCCGTTTTTCTGATTTTTCTTGGGTGTATTATTATACATGGGCGTGAAAATTGTTGTTGAATCTTGATCGTATATTGTGTAAGTTGTGTTTTCGGTTTTTGTAGATGTATTTTGTTTTGTTCCTAGGTTTTGCGCCATTGTTTTTTCCCGATTTCTTTTGTGTAAAAAAAAGGTTTTGGGTCTTTAAAAAAAAAAAAAAAAAAAAAAAAAAAAGGGGTTTTGGGAGGGTTTTTTTTGTATGATATACAAATACAATTACTTGTATTTATAATAAAGAAAAAATAGGGAAAAAAAAAAGTACTCCTAAACTACTTAAAATACCGATTTCCATAAATAATTTCCTACTTTCTTAATTTTTCCTGTAAATTTTCAAGCCCAAGTTGTATTTTGTTTTACTATAAGGGCATTCTTGTCTTTTTTAGTTTCTTCCAAAATCTAGCATTTTATCATTAGGAAAAATAAACATTAAACGATATCTAAGACAATAAAGGTATATATGGGAATAATGGGATAAGTTGTCAACCCTATAATGATGCAAATACGATCGATTACATTATGGTTTAATTTTCTCAAAGTGACTTGGCAATTTTTATTATACAAGTAGTTGTACCTTATAAGATGAAATAAACAGGTTGTATGGTTTGGTATGAAAAATAAACATTAAACGATATCTAAGACAATAAAGGTATATATGGGAATAATGGGATAAGTTGTCAACCCTATAATGATGCAAATACGATCGATTACATTATGGTTTAATTTTCTCAAAGTGACTTGGTAATTTTTATTATACAAGTAGTTGTACCTTATAAGATGAAATAAACAGGTTGTATGGTTTGGTATGGTAAAAATGTTAAAGTAATCTACCCTAGAGCCTCGAAATTACAAATTATAAATCTTCCGTAGAATGTTATCATTATAAAGGCATCAGTACATCACATATCAAAACATGCTGCAATCTTTGAAGATTGTTTAAACAAAATGTGTTTTGCATCCATTCGATTTTATATACGAAGTGCATTCTTGACTTGGATAAAAATTGCAAGTCTAATTAAAGGTGGCCTGTTTATGAAACATTGAGTCCCCAAATTCTTCAAATGGCACAACTAACAAACCGGAGTCCGGAGGGACGTTAATCACCATATCCAAAACCAGGCTAACCAGCAAAAAACTTTCTCTTCGCTGAATATATGATATACAACTCTAGGGGCCGATTGTGAAAATTCCAATCTTTATACCAGTACAATATTTTGGGCCATCATAAATCATAATTCAGCTCATAGTAACTCTTAAAAATCAGGAGTAATAATTGAATACATTTGCTTGTACCATTCACACAGTTAACTCTATATTAGTTATCGGAGGCAATCTGGGCGCTTATAAGTCATAATTATTCATGGAAGAAAGAAGATGCAACAAAATAGTAGAACAAAAGTAGCATAAAATCCATTCAACTGGCCTGTCTTCAAAACTGTATAATCGAACTCTTTTCTACAAGTTGTGGCGTAGCAATATTACCAATCACCGAACTTGGGCAAAATTTGTAGCTGTCTTGTAATTCTCTCACAACAGCTTCAAAATTCCAGTAACTTGCCCAGTTGCCCATATAAATTATTTACATGCCCATCAATCTACTAATCTATCCTGAGGCATGTCAACCCGTCGATGCAATGTTGCCCTATGTTTGCTGGTTGTGCTTGACATACTACAGATAAAAATCTTCGAAAAAGAAAACTAGAAAGACCAAGGAAAAATAATACACCTTCCCCTATATTTTCATTCCTATATCCAAGACTCTGTACATTATTCTCTATGTTTGCAGGTTATTTTTGCCTCCTTGCGCTTTCTTGTTCTTCCTTCGTATCTACTATGTATATCTTAGAAAGAATAAATAAAAAGTATATGTATGTTCTGAATCAAGAGAGGACTGAGGCGTATAAAATTGCCCTTTTCTGGTTGCTGAAGAAGCGAAATATAATTCCTTTGGAGACTTCTTAGAAGTGTTCCATGTGAAATTCATATTTTGTTGTACCTCTTTGATTATAATCATTGCAGAGTACCTTCAGTTCCTTGCCCAATACTGGTGCACCGCAGTAGAAAACACCTGCTCCCAAGTTTCAAGAAATCATAGAAGACAAATTAGAAATTATTTCAATTTAAAACCGAAGAGATTGTGACTTGTGAGCTTCATCTCAAATAAACACCTTCCTCTTAACTATTTAACATCTTCATAATCAATCCCACATACTAATTGTTTCGAAATTAGGTTCCATTTTGAAGGAAAGGTGGTGCTTATGTATGTTCATCTAAGCTCAAAAGTTCATTTTCCTCCCCACAGCGTATGAGGAGGTTGCATTCTAACATTAGTGCCAAAGAATGTAAAACACTGGCTCAGGAACTTGCAAACTTAATAATTTAATATCATAAACAAATAAACAATCAAATCCTGATTACTCACCTATTCTAGCGTTTGCATGCTTGGAACCGATCTTAGATAGAACCTTTTTCCAATTTGGTCTTGCAAAATGGGTACGGACCTGCCAGAAAAATGGATATTTATAAGGGCTATCACTATAGATCATATGTGAATATGTATGCAATGCTACATGGACAACAGAGATGCATAAGATAGAAAGATTAACGACGATGTGATCCCATCTATCTGTTTAGTAGTATAAATGACATACATGAAAATGGGAAGAAAAATCATTTTGTATATACCTTGGTGCCAGAAACAATATCCACCCCATTTTTGGCATGGTTGAGTGCTGCGACCATGGTGATTAGCGCAGAGCGTGCATCTCCTTCCTCGTATACACTGGTCAAATAGTTGTGCATCTCAATAACACCCTGTGTCCAAAACAGCAAAAAGCTCATTAAATGCCTTAGAAAAACAATTATATAAGGCTGGAATGAAACTATGGCTTTTGACTTTACTCTCTGATCAAGCTCCGCAACTTCATTCATGACTCCTTTGAACCAATCAAATGAGCCTTGCTCCCTAGTTACCCAATAAAAGTACGCATTTGTGGTCCTGAAGGGCTTTTTTTTGCTTTGGGAAGCCCTTATCAGTGAGATCTGGTACTGGGTAAAGATCAGCAGCTTTTTCCTGATCATTGAAAACACAGAAAATGCACGTTCAAATCTCCATGAGGCTATCAGCATCACAAAATTAAGTGATGTCCATGATCTACCCAGCAACACAATCATAAACTCAATCAACAAATAGATAAATCATTATATAATGCCTTTTTACTCAGAGGTGAATAAGTACTCACTTCCTCCTCCTCCTTTTTGACCATGTTGTTAAGCAGATCTTTCAGGATACTAATGAATGGTGTTGCTCCAATACCAAGACCAACAAGGAGGAGAACATCATATTTACTGTAATCTTGTGCTGGAGCACCGTATGGCCCGTCTATCAGCAGCTTGGGCAAACTGGCAGAAGAATAAAGTTTCAGACTACATATAATCTTCTACAGTCAGTCAGTCACTAAAACCCAAAAACTAGCAAATAGAAAAAAGACCTTTTCTTAGTAGTTTCATCAACTCTAAGAAGCCCACTTATCCCAGCTGGAAGATTGTCACAAGCCGGTTTAAAAATAGCCTGTAGTTCCTCTGTCCAGTCACCAAGCTTCCGAACATGGATACTGAGATAATCGTCTCCAGGAGCAGAAGTAATTGAAAATGGGTGCCTAGAAGATGGTCATAATTAGCTAAACAGGAGCAGATGTAATTGAAAATGGGTGCCTGGACTGGCACATAATTTGCATGAAAGATAGCCAAACATTCTGTAATCTGAAACAAGAGAAGCATTGACTAGATAACAAATGAAGTTGAAGCTAAGTTATTATCAAGTTACCATTCAAAGGGAGAGACAGCAGGGCACTGCACAAACATGTACTGCCCACTCTTGTATCGAAACTGCTGAGGCTTTGTCATTTGCAGTGTGAGAACATTTCCAGTATAAATTGCCAACTAATTAGAAAGTAATGAACAGGAAAAAAAGTTAGCACAAAAGAAGCTGGGTCATAGGTGTAATTCCGCAGGAAATTTTCTTAATGGGAGCTTGAAATAGTACTTAAGCTAACCTTCAAAAGGTCGACCGAGTATAATCCAGATCGAAAGTATCTCAAAGTCCTTTCACCGGCATACATCAAAACTGGAACAGCAAGATACATCCAAGTCTGGAACAATGGATACCAAACTCTTCATTAGAATAATCAATAAATTGAAGTCTTAATTCCATAAGTAGGGTCGGCAACATGAACCAAAAGTGATTATTTCATGTAGTCATCAACAATAATCTTCATTAAACTAAACACTAATAAAAACGAAATAATCAATATGAATAATTAGTCACAGAAGGATTACCGTCTTTTTGTACCATTTATGGACAAGGTAAAGTTCTATCCCATGGATAAGCAAACAAATGTAAACGATGACCAGACAGTGGTGAGAATACCAGAAGGCATTATATCCTGTGAGCCTATCAAAGGGCTTGGGCAGCTTAATATCACCACGTCTAAAGTATCGAGTAGCCAGAGTAAAAGCTATTGCCATCAAGACGACCATTATGAGCCCTGTTATACCTTCAACACCTTTTACTAAATCTCCGTATGTGGGTTTTGTTTTACCAAAGTCACTCAAGTAGAGAACATATTCTTGTGGTGATGACCTCTCCAGTCTCACAAAATCACATGCAAGATGATTTCCAACGTGAAGGATGACACCGAGCACAATAGCCGCAGCAATTGTCTGCATAGTTGAAAAAGGTATAATTTAACAAGACAATTAGATAGGGTAATAAAGACCATTTTGAATCTGAATTTGCAAGACTTGCCATGTAAGTGAACTAATTATATCCTTCATTATTTAATCTCCTACCTAGGATCATTTCATGCAGCTTCATTTTAACAGCTACAGAGAGTTCTGATAAAGAGAAAGTCACTGCCTAAGCAGGGAGTATAAACCAATTTACATAATTATAGATATAAAAAAACAGAGGCGAGAAAAAATAATTATACATTAAGATGACTGTCAAGTTGTCAAAGATAGGGTAAGATTTTGGTTCATGCATTTAAAATCAATCTGTTGTTTAGTTTTGCTAGCCATTGCTAAATTTCATTTGCTCATACTTCAATTCAAAGCATGTAAATGAAGATGATGCAAAAAATTTCATGATGAGAAGACTGAACAAAAAATACATGCGATATTAAGGTACAGTAACACAACATGATAAGAACAGTAAAGGTCGACCACAAGTGATCTAAGTACAGAATAAGTCATGTTATTGTCATTGATGTTTGATTGTTACCTAACCATATTGTAGAGAAAATACTGAAATGAATAGACTATTGTCTGTTAAGGTCAAGCTGGGAGAAGCAATGTCAAATTTTCATGGATTCTGCATTAAAATGATTAATAATTTCTCTTAAGTCCTAATACCCTTATGCTTGTTCAGAGTTTCATCAACCACCTAAATGCCAGAAGCATTCATTAAGAAAAGGGGTGATTTGGTTTCTCCCCATCTCAAGATAGTCCAATGTTTACTGAATCATGTCAAGGGTATTGTACCATTTCAAGGTGATGAAATGCAGAGACGAGAAAATTAACAGAAAGGGTTAGGTAAGAAATAGGAAAAGAGAAAAAAAGTAAAAATTACCAAAAAAAAAAAAGTTGTTTTGAACCCAAAATAGAAATTTTGATACGTAGTAACTTTATGGAACCTCATTACAAGCATGAAAAACATTACTTCGTAAGTGACAATGGGTTTACATCTTATGAGGTTCCCACCAAATCACTAAGGGTGAGATTAATTATTCAACAAAAGCTTGACTTTATTATGCATCTTTAGTGATCACCAACCATTTAAGCATACATACAAACTATTACAACTGAGGAAAAGGTCAAACCAATGGTGCTGACTTTCACATTAGAAAGCAAACTTTGGGTCCCCCCCCCCCACCCCCCACCCCACCCCACCCCACCCACACACACATAATAACTTATAAAACAAGCATTAAAAAAGCCAAGTGTAGTAGGTATACCTTATGGAAGTTGATATTGTCGTCAAAAGGCACAGTGTAAGCCAGCCTAGTAGACCTAAGCCAAGTTATGGTGTTTCTACACACTGGAAACAGTATCAAAGCCATGTTAAGCTTTAAGGTTTCAGCTGCACCTTTCGCGGTGGTAAGGCAATAACCCATAACTTGAAACGCGGCTTTGTTTCTGTACTGAAGGAACTTCCAAACAAACAAGCTGATCATTATCAAAATCCAGAGACTTAAAACCCAAATCCTCTTCCAATTATCTTGTAAGAAATAGAACATATTTGTTTTCATCTTTTGCATTGGAGTCTTATATCCAAGTCCTTGTAAATTTTGGCTCAAGGCTTGGCTTGTATAGCTGAGTGCCTGACTGTAGCTCAAGTATGTGTCTTTTTGCAACAAAAGTGTCTCCAGCTGCCATAACTGCATTTTTATTAAAGCAGACAATAAATCAGTTAATAAAGGAACACATGTAGCAGAATTATTCAAGTTAGGAGTCCATTTCTCATGATGCAATAATTCCATTATGGGTATCAACTTTAAGTGTTTGGATTTACACGTGGCAGAACACATCAGATATGTACTACATTTGTGTTTGCATCTCTAGTTTACAATAAATAAAGTCCTGGAATAATACAAGACTTTTTATTAAAATAAATAAATAAAAAGCGAAAATTAACGTGTATACTATGATATGAATATGAATATGATGATATAAGAATGATATTACAGGTAGGTACTTATGGGAAAGGCGGCTAGATTACCAATATAGATGAAAGTTGGTGGCATTCAAATGTCATAATGGTAACTAATGACTGAAATTGAATTACTAGTATTTAAGTTTCTAGTTACAGACTGCAGAGTATAAAAATGATCAAGCAAAATTGTTTTCAATCATAGAAGGAAACTAATCAAATTTGTTTTCTGCATAAAAAGTCAGGAATTTCTACCGATGGAGTATGGGGATGCTTTTTCCCTTGTATAAAGAAGATCCAAAGTATAGAAACTCTTACCTATGTGTTGTATACGTCATTCCCAAAAAAAAAAAAATAATAATAATAATAAGTTATAAGGTAGTAGTTTGAAACCATTGCACACTACTCAATTTATTGTGAGATATTGAGAGTTAGAGCAACACCAACTTAAAAAAGGATCAGTCTACGTTTAAGAAATTTCGTCTAAAAATGGACAATTTGACATATAGTTTTAAAGCAATTAATAGGAAAATCAAAAGAAGTAGAGAAAAAAAGAATGGCAACACTGTCAAGTGTCAATCACTTTTATTTAATTTTTTTAATTGCAACTTTAGAAAAATTAACCCAACAACCATGTGGGAAAAGGGAGAAAGAAAAGAAAAAGAACGAGAACATAGAACCGTAATAATCACGGACTGCTTTAAAGAGACATTTACACAAAATCTGGGACAGTAATTAAAGCTTAATCGTATGAATTGGGTTTTGTGTTTAGCCTTGAAGAGTTCAAAAACACGCCAACTAGCTTCCTGCAAGTGTGCAATTTCTTTCATGCTCCCTTTTATGTCAACCATGACTTTCAAAAAGTCCAAATCATAACCATTGCTACTTTCTCTCAATCTTTAGTAAATCTCACTTTAGTTATAAAAAATTTACTGGTAATCAAACTTAATCATTACTCCGTATCGTTTCAGTTCTTCAATCTCTTACTAGTTGACAGTTTGTCAGTTGTGACATTTGACTTTTTGAAATCGAAATTCATCAATTTTAATCACTCTCTGCTATTTATATTATCATTGATTTTCATAGATTTTTATTTTTGCTTGTTTTTATTTTCACAATATCAAAGGTACAATTTGGCAACCATGAAAATAGAGTAATTAATCTATAATAGGAGCACATGTGAACCTACTACGTATTAAACATTTTGGTAAAGATGACACAAAAGTTGTGCCTTGTGTCATCGTGCATGGGAATAGATTGGGCACAGCATACTGGCCACTGTCATGAGTCTCATGACATGTTGTGTGTTGCTACCATTTTCAGAAGGAAAACCCAAGCCAATTTGCCCTGTAATTACTAATTAGTGCAGAATAAGAGTATTTGCTAATGTATGGTAATACTAGGCAAGCTTTCTATGACCGATAGAGAATTTCCCAAGAAGAAATGAACACACAGAAGTACTCGCGTAATAAGTTGAAGTGGATAGTATATGTACTCCGTACCTCAATATATCCAAGACCTTCTGGATCCAGTTCTTCCATGATTAAAGCTGCATATTCCTCAGCTTGGTCTTGTAATCTTGACAACTTATTTGCTGATGCACTCAATGTTATGATCTACACCAAAGTAAAACCAATTTTAATTTCTATGTTCATATTAAATACTTCTAGAAAATTAACTTTTAAAAGTATAAAATTTTAAACCAATTTTTTTTTTCCCCGGTTTATTACCCAATAATTACAGTATTTTCTAGATAATCAGTGATTACTGTAAATTAGTCAGATTAAGAAATCAATATTCTAATTACTAACCAATTTATCTACGTCTCTCTAATATTTTTCAATGCAGTTGGACATAAATCATAGTCATTAACCTACCTGACTATATGACAAATTGTATAAAGAATTTTAAGATAAAGCAAACCAGGGAAAAATTATACAAATGACGTGCTTCAGATTCAACAAAAAAAACAAGTAGAATATTCTTGTACAGTTTTTTTTTTTTTTTTTTTTTTTTTTTTTTTTAATTAATGACTCTCAACTAGTTTACCAACTCCGACGCTTCCAATAAGGAATAAACTCAACGATATACTGAAAAATAAAGGTGATTGGACATTTGAACTGAAAATCTTGTAACAAATAAATACGTATTAAATTTAAGCAATAGATTTAACATCAAAAGATCAGAAGTTAGAAATATTTATCCAATTTAGACATTACATGCAAAAGATCTATGCTACTCGACTAGTCATATAAAACTTAAAAAGTACTCAGTATTCTATGAAGCCTACATGCCACGTGACTCTCTTTAATATACTTCATATAAGGGAAAAAACACATTATAATTATTTTTACAGTTTATACAAATTTGTTTAATGCAAAGTACATACTCCCTCCGTGTTTTAATAAGTGTTACAATTGACCAAACACGCATGTCGAGATACGACTAATAATATGTTAATAAAATTATAGGAAAATTCATATTATAAAAGTATATATCATAACAAATCCAACAATGTATTATACAATATCGTTTGTTTTTTATATATTATAGTGAATTGATTAAGTCAAAATCATTAAGTGAATAGTGGAATAATACTTATTAAAACACGGAAGGAGTAATGTTTTATTTTTTGCATTATTAATGCATGATTTACCCAAATAATTCTAGTCAGACTGTCTAAGCCAAAATTAGTAAGTGTATTTTCTAATAAAACATGTTTGCCTAACTTAATTAGCAACACAATTAATCGTCACACCAAATCTACTGTATATATCCATGTACTGTATATAAGTTCACATGCATGATTTATCCAAAAACAAAATCACATGCATGAAATTATTCTATTTGTGTACTATCTCATAAATAATCTGATAGAATAATTAATTTCATAGCAATTACGAAAGAAAAGAAATCCGTGACCATGTTTGCCTAAACTTAGCAAGCACATCCATGCACTACTAATAACACTGTCTAGTACTACTAACCTAGATTATTCAACAAAAGAAATCAGCACGAAATTTCCAAATGATGGTAAATAGGATGCTTGAGAACATGGGAAGCGTATGTAAGACATGATGAAATGCTCAAAATCAAACCATATAATATATAAAAATGTGTGTGTGTATATATATATATATATATATATATATATATATATATATATATATATATATATATATATATATATATATATATATATATATATATATATATATATATATATATATATATTTACATACATTAATAACATTATCATAAAATCATCATCAACCCAAATATACCAATAGTAATTGGAGTTGGTAGATCATTAGTTTGAAATCGTAGACTGAAGTAATCCCAGCCACAAAAATGGGCCTAACCTTTAATTAATTTAACCATAATAAAAACACATAGTTAGCCGACCATTTTTAAGCTGACCCCTCTTTTTTCTCATTTTCTCTCACTTAAATTCTGCTATGCACAAATGTAAAGTTGACAAGCGCGATCGAAGGAGTCAGCGGTTAATAAATATTAGGTCGCCGAACAAGACAGAGTGTCTAGTTATCCTATTACTTTCATGCCTAGTTATGCCTCCTACCATCTTCATGTGAGACATTCATATTTTATTTAGCACAAATTAATTAATCAACGTATTAATGAATGATATATGTAAGATTAGTAGTGAAAAATATGTTATGCAGTACAAATTTGCGGAATTTTTGTCAATAATTATTCGTTAATTATACTCCTTTTAAAACTTTTGAGAATTAAATATTTCATCTTTTTACAAGTATATATATTACATTTAAGTACTCCATAATAATAATTATAATACTAATAATTCTGATATTTTGAAGATCTTCTTGTTTATTAATTATGTGGTGAATTTAGTAACTTCAACCATCTTTACATACGTAATATAAACAAACTTATGAATATATCTTTTTTTTTTTAAAAAAAAAAATTATGAATATAAACAGGATATACCTCTTTTACTTCTTCTTCTGTCAGTTGGCCATCTTCATTTTTATCCACCCTGTCAAATTAGAAACTACTCCGTAAGAGAAACAATTAAAATAAAGATTAATTAATACTCGTTGTTTAGACTTTGGCCTTCTCTCAAGCAGTCAAGGGTATTTTCAAATCTATACAAAAATCAAGCAAATTTCAATACTTTACATAATACTTCGTATTCCGTAAGCAAGCAAACTTCAATGCTTTACATAATACTAGTCTTACTCTCTTCACGTATGTAAGACAGCAAGAGTATGTACTAGTCTTACCGGCTAAGTTTGATCAATTAAAGAATATGCAAGAAATGTCACTGTCTACACTAATCATTCCCTGTTTTCAAGGGTGCATGGATTAATAAATAAGTGCATCAAGGAAGCATTATCTTTTAATTTCATGGGTGGCATACAATAATTATTTTCCCTAATATAAATGGTTGAGCATTATTATCATGGTTAATTTTTTACCCTTTTTCTTTTCCCTTTCACTTTTTTTTTTTTTTTTTTTTTCAGGGAACACTTTCAATTCCATTTGAGAAAGACGTTTAATAATATTCATGTGTAATAAACTTATCAAAGAAGTGAGGAATGTAGGGTCCTTTTAAATTACCATATGTTTACCTAATCTGTCTTCTAGATTTATGATACACTTCAAGGCTACAAGCTACCAAAAAAATTGCATGTTTTTTTCCCTTTCTTTACCTAATCTCTTAGATATTTGTCAAACATCGGAGAATATGTATGTTAACACTTCAATTCCTTCAAAGATCAACCAATTCTCATATGCTTAAAAAAATTCTTAATAAATTATACTCCCTCCGTCCCTAATTGATAGTCACTTTTGAAGAAAAATCACGGAAATTAAGGAGAATTAAATAAAGTACATTAAAAAAATAAATTTACATTGGGTATGCAAAAAAGTAGAGAGAGAAAGTAATTAAAGTATATGGGAAAGTAAAATTTACATGAAAAAAGTTAAATTTGCATAAATATTTTTGCAAATGTTAAAGAACTTTGGTAAAAAAAAATATTAATGGTACTTGAAAAAAGCATTTGAGTCACTAAAAATGGCAAAAGTGACTATCAATCGGGGACGGAGGGAGTAATTCCTAAGGTGGTAACTAGCATACTTGTATATATTGATGAGAAGAATTAATATGGTACGAGTAGTTTATTAAGGAAACAAAAGGTTATTTTTGGAAAACCATAATTCCTCTAAATAAATTTGATAGTTTTGTTGCTAAGTAAGTTTTTTTTCCCCCTAAATTAAAAAATGAGACAATTTTTATAAAACGGTTGCAATAAAAAAGTGTGAAAAAACTTTAGAACAAAGTGATTATACAACTGTATAAGTGTAACAAACTAACAACTTTCACCATCTTATATTCTTATGATCTTATCCGTAAAATGTTTGGAAAAGGACCAAAATACCCTTGATTCCACCCTTTCACATGTTTACTTCCAAGGAGTATCTATCTGCTATCTCCTTGTGTAAATTTGGTCACTTGATCCATCAAACAGCAAAAGTAACCTCTAATCCTCTATAGTTGGAGTTGTTACCTAACATGTAACAAAATGACCAAAATATCCTTTTATAATGCATGTTGTATTAATGGTACTACTTCGTATATTAGACTGCTAATGACCCCCAATAATAGCCAACCATATGCATCATCATATAACGTTGGGATTGTAATTAGTGGGGCAATCATTAGCTTCTTAAAAAACCATTAACCAATACTACATTATTTTAGTATCATTAATTTAATTGCAACAAATCAATCAATTTAAAAAAAACATTGTGTAGGTGTCAACGGGGATGATATGAAACAGTTAAGAGTTACGACTTACATTACCTTGTGATCAAATTCTATCTAGATGACTATGTCACTCTCAAACACCAAAATAAAACTCAAAGAAAAAGTTTAAAAGCAGAAATTTAAAATTAAAAAGAAGAAAAACACGAGTAATTAAATACTGTAAATTACTCACATGTCAAAGAAGATCTGAAGACGAGAATCAAAGCTCTGATCTGTAATCTGAGACCAATACTCATACAATTCTTCCTTGCTAATCTTCTCCACCTTCAACCTCCTCCTCCTGCTCAAAGCGTCGAACATCTCCAACGCGAATTCCTCCGAATTTTTCATCCCTAATCCACAATTCAATTCAATTAACGAAATCTCATAAACAATAATTACAACTAAACTTCATTAATTGATGCTCTTAAAATTTAATAAATTAAATTTAATTATTTTTACCAATGCATTCAGCGAAGTCAGTGCGATAAAGAAAATCATCTTTGGCTAATCTGGTGAAATTGTCTTCAACTTTACACCAACTTACACTTCCTTTGTTACTAATAAATCTAAGCCCCTTGAGAGCTCTATGCGCACCAGACCGAGTTCGATTGAGTTGAGCCTGCACTTTCCTTCGATTCCTCGCCGCAATCGCCGGGTCAACTGCCGACTCAGACGACCCTTTCATCGAAGCCGAGTAGTTCAAGAACTTTCCAGAGAATCGCTTCGTCAACTGCGCTGAAAACGACTGCTTCGCTTTGCTTATCTCCGCCTTCAACTCCTGCGAAAACTGCCGTATTCGGCTGCTCGACGACGTTGTTCGCCGAATCGTCGGAGTTCGAGACCTCGACGCCGGAATCTCAATTCCTCCGATGGAAGACGACGCGGAATTCGGAACAGCTGATGATGTTGACGCAACATTAACCGACGCCGGTGCCGGAGGTGTCGCCGCCGGCTCAACACTCCGGAGAACGATAGTCTCGTCATCTTCGATATCGAGAGTAACCTCGACGAATTCATCGGCGTTTGAACGTGGAGTGGAATGTCCCGACGTAGTGACGTCACTTCTCGGCGAAGATCCGGTACTCATCGCCACCGACGGCGTTCGGATGTTATCGGAGGCCCACCGCCGGAGTTCGTGCCTTGCATATCCTCTCATTATTTTATTATTATTTTTATTATTTAATCAAATAAAAAAAATGGAAAATAAAATCAATAACTACTACCACCACCAGAAAAATCCTTCACCATTGAAAAAATCATCGAAAACGCGTGCTGTATTCTGAAGATGGAGATTGAGGAGAGAGAAAGTGGTGGAAGCACTGTTTCTCTCTCTAGAATGAGGGAGGTTTTCTCTCTCTAGAGTGTGAGTGGAGGGATGGGTGGATTGGATGAAAGAGAGAAGATGGTTGAACAGAGAAAAATGGGACAGAAGAAAAACAAAAAAAAAGGAAAAGAAAAAGGGAGGGAGAAAGGTGGTGGAAACGACAATAAGGAATTATTTGAAAAAGGAAAATTAGGAAATGAAGTGGAGTTTAAGAAAGGTGGGTCTTTTTATATAAGCGAGGGTGGAGGAGGAGAGGGACCGTGTGAGTTTAGGACATTTGCTAGACTGCTAGTTGAGAATTGAGATGGAGTTACGGGGATGTAACGTAGAGTCAAGTCGAATCGAGTTGAGTTGGTCAACTATCTTTTGACAATGCGTTTTTGAGGGAAGAAGTGGAATCATGAGTATGATGACTTGTAACTTTGTGAGCTAGCTACTCATACTCATGTGGCGAGGAGCCGAGGAGATGGTTGAAAATAAAATATGTATTTCCTCGGCTCCTTTATTATATGTCTGTATTTTTTTTTGGGGTGATTAAAATTAAGTGTCTGTTTTTATTTATAGATTGTACTTTTCTGCAATGCTATTCTCTTTTTGATGATTTATCATTTTTTTTATATATTTTAACATTAATTCTCAATATTTTCTCTCTCCTAATTTCCAACCACTTTTTCTTTCTCTCTATCTCTCTAACCCCACCCGCATATTATACTTTCAATTATTAGTCTTAAGCAATCTTTAACTTTCTTAATTCCCGTGCAAAATAAGAAATAGACATGTAATAAAGAGACGGAAGGAGTACATGATTTTATGGCTTATCAACAGCATGTTAGCTACGTTTATGAAAAGATAAGAGTAATATTTTTATTGATCTTAAGGAAAACAGATTGTAGATTCAGAACAGCTTGCGCTTTATGGCAAGTGGGATCATGTGACCTCACTTAATCATGAGAAAAAAATTCCCTTATAAAATTGAGTTTTTTCCTATTAAATTTATCCACTTAACCTTTTTAAAATTTATCAAATGTATTTTGACCCCGTTAAATAAATTTTCTAGATCTGTCACTGACTTTCGGACCAATCACAAAAACTATATTGATTATCGCTCACAATTCTAATGTTATCTCCCTCAAAACTCACAAATAAGAAATACACAAAAGAATCTTATATATCTAATAATAACACTTGATGTACTAGGATTAACCCTGAGAAGTTTATACTCTCTACTTAAATGGAATCGGAGTCGTGGAAGCCGAAAAACCCCTAACCCCTACTTATCAAACGCAAGTACCCTTCTTCACGACTTCATCTGGTCAAGCACACTAGATAGAAACTCAAAAGACTTTCTCAAACGTACATTTAAGTAACTCCCCTTTTGTTAGGTGCAAGTGTAAATAGTTTTTGTCTCACATTGAACAAGAAAGCAAAGGGTTTTCTGTTTATAACCCAAGCGATCAATTGGACAACTACTCTTATTGCTAATTGATTTTAAGATAGAACCTCGTTGTTGGCTCTGGTTTGTGGGATTTTAGGCTTCTCTCCCATCTATTATAACAATGATTTTGTACTTAGGATGGTGTTCAATTTCTTTTGATGAAGAATGAAATAGTGGCTTGTGAATACAATCGATAGGTTGTAGTTTGTATTGCCTTATATAGTTAGATTGTGGCTCATCATGGAAAGAAAAAAAAAATCAGATATTTCCTTTAAAATTGTATGATTGCCTATTTTCACATTGTGAAAGTATATTAGTCCCATTTTTGGTGTGTTCAGTTTTTGATATCCTAGTAATATATTATCCATTTTATCCTTAATAATATTTTATAGGAAGTATTTGCAACTGTTACCCAATCACCAACAATAGTAAAGTATGTAGTTTTGGTAGCTTATCCCTCATACATTTACTTTCTTTCTTAAAATGTGTTTCCCTAACCATAATTACATTACAAAAATAAAAATGTAGTGTACTCTCTTTATTTTAAAAGAGTTAAATGTAGGCGTGCCCCAGTTCCTCTTCTTCTTGATAAACAAGAAGTGTATCTCTTATGGCATTTTTGTAATTAAAATGCATTGGGAATTGTAAAGTAATGCTATTATAATCAGAATAAGTGTTATCTGTACATCCACTATATTTGCTGACTTGGACTAATCAAGACGGCGTCAAATGGTGAAATTAACGGCATAAATGTCCTTCGACTTCCTCAGCAACTGGGTTTCCTCCAATTCGACAGCGTCTACAACCACACGTTATTCTTCTTCTTCTTCCTTTTCTCACATCAGCCATTAAAGGAGCTCAAGCTTTCATCCTCACCCATCCCCACCAACACCACCATTCTGGTGGCTTCGTCGCCAAATAAAACGAAAACCCTAAAATAAATGGGAGAAAAAAAGGGCAAGATCAACCCCAAAGGGTAAGGGTGTCATCTTCCTCCATTGAAGTAGCCTTTGAGCTTCTGAAACTCCATTGAAGAGGATCTTCGGATTTTGGGTGTTCTTCACAGAAAATACAGACTATATATTTCAAATTTCAGCTATTGTGCTCGTAAAACACCACCACTCGCTGCCCAAATTGGGTAAATTGAGTAGGTAACCTGGGTAAAGTTTCACTGGTTGATTTCTTTAGCATTCCTCCATCAAAATTGAGACTTAACGACAGTTTGATGAAAAGTTAGTGAGTCAAACAAAAAAGTCTCATTTACCCTCATATTCTTGCGAAAATGTACGAAATTACCCTCTTGAGAAACACTCCTTGTTTATCAAGAAGAGAAACTTGGAATTACCCGTTAAATGTTATTTTAAAAGAGTTAAACGATAAATGATTATACAAAAAATATAAGACTTGATCTCAGATTTTTGTAGTTCCCTTATAATTTTTTGACTATGCTAGATGATATGATCTGCGGTAAAGGGTTTGTTGACTTTCTAAAAAAAAAAAAGATAAATTGAGATGATAAAACCAAATTGATATCAAGTCTTGGATATACCCATAAATTAAACAGATAACATGGTAGACATCTATAGTAAAGGGGTGAGTTTAGGATGTATTATAGTCATATGAATTTGACTTATTTCAAACAAAATTACTTTATTTTGATTTATACAAGTGTAAGACTAATTAAGTTACAAGTTCAATATGAAGTATAAACTGCATACGGTATTAAGTAAACTAAGCTCGAATATATAGACGAATATATAAGACAAAATACATATGTCTAGTTAAGTTATGGTAAAATAAGTTTTAACAACTTATAATAAGTCAAAACCAGATTATTAATTATAACCCACATTTGTATGCATTCCTTTGACCTAAATAAGTATTTACCATATGAAAAGAAACATCATGTTTTATATTGTACTCCTCAGCTCATCATTACTTTGATGATTATATAAGTATTTCTTAATTCTTAATAATTAAGTGTTCTTAATAAGGTAATATATATAGTTTGCTAAAAGTGACACATAATTGCTTGTTTATTAATATAATAAATGTCAAATTTGATTTTTTTGAGTTACAGTTGTAGTCTGCTTAGCACAACATGTTCACATTAATGTTATATGTAATACTCAAACAATTTGCAATTAGAGCTTAGACGCTACTTGCCATCACCTCTAAGCATATCATAAATAAAAATTATTGCAATTGCATAATCTATTTTATTGTAACCAGTAGAACATAGGCAACTAAATCAAAATTAGAATTTATCTTCGACCCTTATTTTGCAATAAAGTTGACTTCTTTGGGAGGAAAAAGCATACAAAGGGTTGACTAATTTTGTACTTGTAATCATTTTTTTGTTTTCCCAATATTTTTATAGGATTGCAAAATGTTGTCGATGTTTAATTTGCTTTGAAGTTAAATAATTCATTATGTTGCTTCTATTTGCCAGTTTTTCTATTTAATTTAGAGAAATCTTACGATTGCACACTAGTTTTTTTTAGAGAACGTTGCAAATTGTTGTTGAAGTCTACTGTGCTTTGTACATTGAAGTTGAAATATTCATTTTAATTGTATGGTGCTTCCATTTAATTTGTCAATTTTGATTTGTAAAAACTAATTTGCTTTTCAGTTGTAAGTCATGACATTATATCAATTAAGAGTACTTTTTATACGGCATGCTACACACTCTAATTATGACGGACTGCAAGTTTAATTTAAATGTGTTGGAAAGTAAGAGTATGATGAAACTTAATTAAACGCACTACGACTACGGGATTAAAATGGCAATTCTCTAAGGAGTCTAACCTTTATTTGCATGACATGCATAAACAAGCACAATATTGAAGATGAAGAATGTTCAACACTTATTACTGAATGATGATTAATGCGAAACTAATAAGCACTGAATAACTAATTAAGTAAAATTTACACCACTCATAATCAAACTTTCGGCTACGTACTAAAGTTGCAGCACTAAAAATGACAAAATTAATTTTGACATTATATTACATTACATACTCCGTATTAATTATACACGGAGCCAAATTGAAGCCTTATTTCGGAAGAACTTGCAGTGACATGTAGGCAATCATTAATTATCAATAATCATTGACTTTTGTAAATGTAAACATTAAAACATGGAATGTTATGATTAAACAATATTTCAAGTTCCGAATCTTAATAGCATGTGAGAATGATTTGACAAGCCAACAATTGACACTTGCTATAAAAGTTAAAATTATCAATCAATTCATTAGAATTTGGACCAATTTTTAAACTTATATTGTGTAGCCCTTGAATAATTTCAACATTTTTGTACCACATTTTTGTACATAGAACCTCACTTCAAAATTTTAATGAACTAAATAGTTGAATTCCATATTCTTTTTTCACTAAAAAGATTGTAGGTTTTCATTAAAAATAAATGCTTGAAGATTTACATTTTTTGATAGAAACGTGGGGATTAATATTAATCAAAAAGTCAAATTACATCAAGGCCCGCAAAAATGGAAATACTATGCTGAAAAGAACTCAGAAACAATTGTTCAACCCCACCCATAGGAATTAGGAACAAGCCTAGCTACTATAAGTATACATATATATATACACATACCAAGCTAAGCTTGGTTTAGTGGTAAGATTGTCATCTTCTAACCTTGAGTTGGGGTTTAATCCCCAATAGAGACACTTTGAGGGTGGGGATCCCTTACCATTCCCCTCACTCTCAAAGTTTTTGACCCGCAAATACCGAACCAAAAAAACTGTGTTCGGTAGGGTCTTTCTCCTTACCTTAAAAAAAAAAAAAGTATACATATATATACATACATTATACATACATGTATACAATTAAATTAAATATACTTCATATAATGTTACTCCGTAAGAAATTAAATTAAAAAAAAGCATTAAATTTCCTAGCCATTCCGCATTCATTTAAATTTACTAATAAAAATAAAATATAAAAAAATAAAAACAAAATTAAAAAATAAATAAATAGAAACCATAAAATTTGTAAAGGGCTAGACCAAGCATCTTAAGATGGCATGTTGCGTGTATAATGTGTTGAAACGTGATCTTTATCCTATGACCTTTATTGGCTAGCCCCAAAATAATGAAAGTATTCCACTAATTAACCTTGTTTATTTGTTATACTAAAGAACAAATAGCTAGCAATCTTTCCATCATATGACTTTTCCTGACTGATTAACCTCTTTCTAAATTCTAACCATAAAAAAAATTGTCAAGCCAAAAACCATACAATTTTCATAAATATTGGACAA